AGGCAATCTAACTGAAAAAAATCTATTTTACAAAGTATGATTGATATAGCAAAATCAGTGGGATCCTTCACATGCAAACATCAAAGCGGATACCCGACTATCATAAACATAGTTTCAACACGTGAATTCAATTTACCTTGCATTCGACGACGATAATACGTCCCTTGCTATCCACACAAACACCACGTGGATGCTGGAGAATATTAGCGCCGAATTTTCGCAAGAACTGTCCATACTGGTTGTAGACTTGGATCTGATGCGTTGGGGATCTTTCAGTAACCACGAAATCACCGGTCATTTTATTGACAGCTACTCTGCAAACAGACGTCTTATTTATGCAAAATATTAAAAATTTTATGAACAAACCTGTTCGGGTAAAGCAGCTGGCCATCACGTTTGCCGCATTCGCCAAACTGGAACTTGAAACGCCCCTCTTTATCGAACACCTGCAACATAATATCTTTTGGTAGTACCAACAGTAGGTACACCAAGTATCCTTACCTGGATGCGGTGATTGTTTGTATCAGCAACCACTATATCGCCCTGGGCGTTTACAGCGACACCTGATGGTTCCGTGAACTGTCCTTCCATGACACCAAACTCGCCAAACTTGCAGTGATAAATCATCTTCTGACGACTTATTTGCGAGCGACTGCAATTTCTAAGAAATGGATATCGTATGAGGTAATTCCACAACGTAATTTTTCCGAAAAATGGATAAGTAAATTCCCTATTTCATTTATAAAAAAAAAGTTAGTGAAGAAGCACATAAATAATACGCGATTTGATGGCTAAAACAGTTGCTGCCTAAAACTGCTCCGCAAAAGGATACGACTTGCATGAGAAAATAGAGGCCGAAAAGCTCAGTTTTTTTTTCGAAATGGTTCGAAAGTGAATATTGGAAAGACAAAAACAGCAATTTTGGCACAGGCTCGAAATGCTTCCACCACAATATCAGCTGATTACCTTCTTCATAGATATCACGGAGAGTAACGTATTTCTTTTTCTTCAGCTAAGTGAGTACTTTGCCACATACGCGAGCATGAAGAGTTATTTAGCCAAGATAAAAAATCGCACGTCATTAAACCTCATGCTTCATGACTATTGAAAAAAATGAAGAGAATCAAAATATAAATCATCAGCTTCGAATGCTGATTCAGTAACTTTCAAAATGTTTAAGACACAATGATCAACTTAGAAAACTGACTCAGAAACTTGACTCACCTTGGCGGATACAAAGGTCCCATTTTCTCATCTTCAACATTTCCAGGCTCAAGCATGCCCAGGCTGGGCTCCACTCCAATGGACCACTTGTCATAATTATAGACAGGAACTCCACAGGCGTCCTGAAAAAATTGCATGAAATCCCAAAACAATTTAACATGTCACATTTAACTTAACACATTAACATGTCAGTGTTAGTGCATGGAAAAACTGTTAAATGTTCAGCTTCGAAGAGATTAATGTAAGGAAACTTATGTCAAGAGGAATTTTCTCAAAAGGCCTGCCAACAGCAGAAGATCTGCTTGATTAGAATTTGAGCAAACTAATCAGTTAGAATTCACTGAAAATTTCTTCGTTTCGAACAAAACATGGAAAAATCCATTTTGTTATTTTAGCTTACAACGTGAAAATGCTGCGAATGTGTAAAGCAGTCAGAGGGATGAAATGAGACAACCCACAAGAGAGGATGAAACGTCGCTGGCGAAATTCCCAAGAGATTGACTAGAGCCACCAAATTCGTTTCTCGGACGAAGGAAGCTGTTAGGCTCAGAGAACACATTTGGCGCAAGGGGAACACTGTGTGCCTGAGGCGGGGAGCGCACAAGCTTAAACCATGACATTAGCCAAAAGTTCCATCCCACATTTCCAATGAAAGACATGCTCAATGTATTTTATGTGCATTACAACTATAGTAGCCAACCTGTCTGCTTGGCGGTCTGCCGATCGGCGTGGGAGGCATTCCTGTTTGTGAACTAGCTTGTCCACTCCAGTCTGCAGCACCACCTCGGACCTGTCCGAGTAGGCTTTGGATGGCTTGTCGGGCGCTGCCCACGTTCAGTGGGGGAAGATCTAGCTCACAGGAGGAACCCAATGCATTTGATGCCTGAAATTGCAAT